CCCCAAAACCCCAAAACCCCAAAACCCCAAAACCCCGATTGTCATGTTAGGTATTGAATAATATGAGTTAGAAATTTATCTTTTTAGCCATAAGGGAAGCACTGTCTAAGATGTTCTTTCTAGCTTGCCGAGCCACTGTTTCGTGCCTGTAGAGAAGATCGTCCCTAGATCTCTGATTTCTGAAAGCAACTGTGCGGTCCTTTCTTTTCATAGATGCGTAGATCTTTTCCAGAGGTTTATAGTACTCCTGATAAATTATTTCTTTCTCTTGTGGAGGTCTTGAAATATATCTCTTGAAATCAGGAACCTTCCCTAGAGAAGACTTTGGATACTCATAGTTAGCATCATAAGTATTGAGGTAGAAAGGGGTATCAAAAAGTTCTTTTCTTCTCGTACATTTTTTAAAATCAGGAGAAGCTGATTTCCTACTATTTGATAAAGCGTGAATGTTTGATGAATTAACTTCAAATCTTTTCTCATTTCAATTTATCTCTGCTTTTAAAGGTGGTCGATCTTGCTGCTTATCAAAAGGAGTGACACTTTTGCACCTTTCTTTCATAATTGTACTTTCCTCAGGAGAATTAAACAGCTTCATTTTGAGGTCGTAAGGGCTTAACTCAGAATCAAAAGAAAAATTAGCTTTTCTAAATCACCATTTGACTATATCTTCATTTATCCTTGATTTTTCTATATAAACCTTTAGTGCTTTGCCTCATAAAAACTTACTGCTCATATTAACTCTTCGAACAGGCTTTTGATGACTCTCAGGAGCAGTTGAATGATTTGAAGTAAAATGAGAAAGTGATTTCATTCTTTGGATCTCAGAATCTCCTTTCCCTTCCGTCTTAATGGCCGAAGTACTATTAATATTAATTTTTGCTAGGCTTTGAGCTTTCAAAGTTTCTCCATCACTACTCTCACTAATCAAGGAATGCCCTTTGCCAAGCTTTTCCTTAGGCCGAGATTTCTGGGTAGTCTCAACATAGTTCTTCTTGCACTTCTTAAATTTGGTTAACAAGCTGTTCACATAGCTCATTCGGGTCTCCTTTATGGCCAATTTCTTCTTCAATTCAACTGTATAATTCTGAAGAAATTCCTTTCTCTTTTGTAAGATCTTATTTTTCTTTAAGCTGCGTTTAAACTTGACATCTCCCTTAACGCGACTATCGACTGCTTTATAGCAAGGATTATAGTGATACAAAGAAGGGATGTTTTTAGGATCTTCTCGATTTGCTCCTCCAATCCTCTGAATAGAAGGGGCTAACTTATAGATCTTCCCTGCAGCTTCTCTCGTAGTTGTAGATTTAAACACCATGCTTAGTGATTCTTTCTACAAAAAGTTATTTCTTGAATATTTGTAAGCAAAATAGAATCAGGATAAAAACAATTGTGATAAAAATCGTGAAGGATACCTTGGAATTTTGTTTTTCACTCTTCTGATAGATAGGAGTGAATTTATTGATGTCAAACTTCTTTTCCACTCGCTTGAGCTTATTACCAAACACCTGGTCATAATTATCCTCATATTCTCTATTGGCAAGCTCCTCCTCAAAAGAATCATTAAGAGCTATCCTACTGTCATCAAGAGTTTTAGATCCGTCAGAGAAACTCATGTACTGGTTAATAGTAGTTTTACCAGCGCGAGAGAACATGGCTGTACCGGGCCCACTCTGTTTGGCAAATTTAGTTTTTGCAATCATTTTATTTATGCCTATTAATTTTATTCCCTCAATAATAATCTTGGCAGAAGGGGTTTTGGGGTTTTGGGGTTTTGGGGTTTTGGGGTTTTGGGG